GCCGGCGACTGATCTGCCTCACCCGGGAAGAGCGCAATGACAATACCAACATGGGTCAGTGAAACGACGTCCTCCACAACTAGACTGAAGAACAAAAGGACAGCAACTTGTCTGTTCCTCTTCCCCGATTCCTCAATGCTGTTCCCCTCCCTCAATTCCCCAATAAAATCTTAAAAAAAAAAAAAAAGTAATGAGACCCAAAGAAATAAGCCACTTCAAAAATATAGAAATAGCTAAGTAACTGCAGGTAGCCTACAAGTGGTCACAAAACTGTAAGGGGTTTTCTGCTCTCTTTATATGGAACTAAAGGTATAGTTGTTATACACCATCCTACTTTTAGTAAACAGCCAGTAATTGTTCAAATTGTGGCAATTAGCTTACTCTGACCTCCGGATTTCATAATTCTCTATCAGAACCTCCTAACAGTTGCCTCTGACAGTGTATTTACTTGACAGTACATATAGGTGGTCACATCCTTCAACAGCTCAGTTTCTCACACCACAGAAGATCACAGGCCAGTTCTGCATCACGGCAGAGACTGAAACCTGGAAATCTCGACTATGAGCCCTACAATGTTGAGAACCTGCTTAAAACATTGTTTTTTCCTTTGAGGTTGCTGCTGCTGACCCCTAAAAGTCTCGGCCATTTAATCGTAAGTACAGTACCTTCCTGTCAAAGAGTTTTGAAATATATGGCTTAAAGTAGTGTTCCTTTATTCCTTTTGCTTCTACGAGAAGTCCATCATGCAGTTCACACAGCACAGCAATGATGCAGGGAGGCTCTTCAGGAGCCCTGAAGGTAGCTGTATGGAAATCAGATGGTAAACCTAGTTTGACAGGGTATGAAGAGCAACGGGAGGAAAAAAAGACTATAGTCAACTTAAAAAAAATTCTTTTTCTAAAAACTGATCATCAGTTTTTAAAAATAAGTAAGGTCTTACCTTTAAACGATGGGTTTAGCAAGTCTCGTCTATTTGGGCATATAATGGCATTGGCAAAAATCAGATCCAAGCAGCACAGAAGTAAATGATAAGAGTTTACTAAATCATCTCCAATCATACGAAAATTACCTTTATGAGAAAAAAAGACACAAAAACAAGAAACCTCTTATATCAAGTAGCACTAAGTTCCCAAAGTAGAAATGTAAAACCACTGAAAGTATCACCTTACCCTTGGTATAAACAAAGAGCGTCCAACAGAAATTAAAGAGATCCTTAACGCTGCAAGGACTCCTTCTAAAAAAGAAAAAATGTAATTTTTATATGACTATTTTGCTAAACATCACTCCACATTTATCACTTAAATTAAAATAGCAAATACAAATAAACTGTAAAGTCACATTATATATAAAATTCCATTCACAAAGGACAGATAACTTATGGTTCATTTAAATATACTTAAACAAGCCTTTCTAATCTGCATAAAATAATCAAAACATACAAAAATAAGTGGAAGTATTACCCTGAATTTGTAGATATGGGTAGTTATAAATGGATTTTAATAGGAATTTAAGTTTTTTGCAGATAGATACCTCTGGTAAAAAGTAGACTTTTAAAATTGCAAATTCCCTTAGTAAGTTTATATCATAATTTTTATGTCAATTATATAAAGATTAAGGGTCTCACCTCTGCTTCCTGCTTCGTGGTAACTTTGGTGGCTCTTCATATGGATTTTGAAATATATCTAAAAAAATTGGCTCAAATTTTTTGAAAATTACAGTTGACACCTCAAAGTTTCTTTCTAGCCTTTCTATACGTTCACGAAATTCTTGTGGCAAGTTTGACATGTCCATCCACTTCTTCATTTTACTAAAAAACTGTATTAAACTAGTCAAATAGAAGAAAAAACAACTTTAAAATGAGTCCATATAATGATAGAAAAGGAAAGATTTATGCCTAAGACTCTTTTATTTAAAAGTATGAATTTATTTTTAAAAAAATGCAAAAACTCACAAATCTCACTCCCAAGTGCTATGAAATGACTCTGATTCCCAGAATCGACATGGGAATTTAGTTTTTGAATTAGTGGGCATTACATGAAATGTCTTCTACTATGCAGGGAGTGACAGTACGTATCTACTTCTTTTATTCCCCACAGCACCTAGACAATAAGCCACCAATAGATATTAGTCAACGGGTTGATGAGTTCACAAAATTAGTTTGAAGAAAGAATCTCCCAAGTTGTGGATTCCAGAAGTTGATCACTAAGTACCAGCTACAGATTAAGAATAAAATTCGTGTTTGTGTTCCAATGTGTGGTTCCACCATCAAATATAAGCTAAGGTAGTACATACCCAGAAAAACCACTTAATATTATAGATTATTAATTCTGGGTACACTTTTTAAGTCCCCATGTTAGTTAGCATGATCTTAGATTGAAAATTTGTAATGTTAAAGCTCATTTTAGTGTCTAGTGCTATATATAGAATACTTGTAATTTTTTTAAAAAAGGTGATGGAAGACATTATCAGCTAATAGTCCATAGGTATTCAAACTCCAGACATGCAGATTGAAATCTGAGATTCTAAAAGTCTCTTTAAAAGATTCTTAACAACAGTAGAGAAAAAAACATTGCCAGGTTACTAAATATTTATCTTGGCTGACAAATTACAGTCCCTTACAGGACTTTGTTTTGGAGAATGCTCAGCATGTGAAATCCTTTCCTTGCCTGAGGAATTCCCCACTTTTGAATCTTGCCTTCTACAAGCTTCACTGGAAGTTAGGGTGAAGGCATAAAACCTGAGGTTCTTGATTAGACATATCTGTTTGGGATTTTGAATCTGGAGCTGGTAGTACAAAAAAGTAAGGAAGTGGTAAATTCTTACAGCAGTATAAAAAGCAATATTCAGCTGTTCGGGACAAATACTGTGGCAATGTCCAGGGGTGGTACTGCTGGCCATGCAAGCTGTGTCCTTGTTAGATGTATTCTGTGCTGTGCTTCTGGCTCTGTAGCTAGCCTCCTTTTCTTCCTAGTCATTTTCCAAGTTTAATTTCTCAAGTCATCCTAAGGACTTTGTCAGCTATCCAATATCCTTTTAGTAAATTTCTTTTGTCCTTAAATTAGCCAAAAGTTGGTAGTTGGTTATCTGTTTTCTATAAACAAGAGCCTTGACTAATACTTCCCCATATAAATCCTCTGTATTTATTGCTATCCCCAAAAGGGCTGTTCTAACCTGGAACAAAGTACATCAGAGTGTTTGAAAACAAAAAACTTATAGCATTGTCATCACTGCATTGGTCTTACTTTGTAGTATGTCCCTAATTTGGGTTTCACGCTTTCCTCATTATTAGATTTAGGCTATGTATTTTGGACAGAGTACTACACAGGTGATGTCATATCCTTCTCAGTGGATCACGTCCATTTGTCCCATTATTGATAACTCTGCACTTGATTTAAGTTGTATCTGCCCAGTTTTCTATATCAAAGTTACTATTTTTCCCTTTGTGAATAAGTGACATATAGAGAGAAACTTTGGAATTATGTAAATATTCTGCTCCTCATCAAACCTTCTATCTACTAGTTTTAGCATCCATTGATGATTTTTGCCTCAATCAATTATTACTATGGGGTTGTGAAATGGTGATTTTTTTTCCTATTATTTCTTCTACATTTATTAGTTGGCATTCTGATATAAGGAAGAGCTTTCCCTTCTCCCCTATTTATCATCACCATAAATTTTATTCAGTGAATTAAAATCCATTACTGTCCCTATTGATTTCGACGCTCAAATTATCCCAGATTTGACTACTAATGGGAACCTTTTCAAGTTAGCGCCTATGTCCCTTGGACATGTCCCCAATATTTTTTTTTAACACTTCCTTACTTTCTGGCATAAGAAGCTGTTCCAGGTTCTCTATTAGAAAAAATGGGTTAGAGAGTTATTATCCTCAGTGAAATAAGTCAGACAGAAAAGGACAAGAACTGTATGATTTCCTTCATATGTGGGATAGAAAACAAAAAGCAACAAACAAACAATAAACCAAACCATAGATACAGACAACAGAATGATGGTTACCAGAGGGGAAGGGAGGTGGTTGAACAGCGTAAAGGTCAAATATATGGTGAAGCAAAGAGACCAGGCTTCAGGTGATGAGCACACAATAGAGTATACAGATGCCATATTATAAAGTTGTACACCTGAAATTTATATGTTATTAACCAATGTTACCCCAATAAATGTAAGAAAAAATAGGCCTGCCCTAGCTTTTCAATCAGCCATTTCCTTGAAGACATTATGCCACATATTAAAATGTTGTGAAATAAACCAGTCACAAAAGGACAAATACTGTATAATTCCATTTATATAAGTTACCTAGAATAGTCGAATTCATAGACAGAAAGCAGAATGGAGGTTACCCAGGGTTAGCAGGAGGGAAAAGAAGAAGTTATTGTTTATTATGGAGCTTCAGTTTGGGAAGATGAAAAAGTTCTGGAAATGGATGGTGGTGATAGGTGCACAACAAATGAATACATTTATTGCCACTAAACTTTTACATTTAAAAGTGGTTAAAATGGGGGCCGGCCGAGTGGCGCATTGGTTAAGAACTGGCTTGGGACGCCAGAGGGCCCTGGTTCGGATCCCACATGAGGGCCAGTGACACTGCCCTCTACAGCTGATGCTGAATGGCAGCTCAATCTGGAGCTGGGCTGCTGTGAGTCACCGGCGANAAAAAAAAAAGTGTATTTCACAATAAAAAAAAAGAACATAAACTCAAATACAGAAGTCACTGAGTCTTGTTTATGGCTTTCTCTGGAGAGTAGCTGTCTTCAATGACAATGGTTTCTTAAAATATATGTACTTAAAGACAACAAGGCTTAGTGACAACACCCATTCAAAGCCACTAAAGTAATAGGAGCTTGAATTTGGAGGAGAGACTTTGCTATGTTTCATTTAACAAATTATAACAAATCTTTATTGACAGCCTATAATATACCAGATCCTAGATACCATTAGTGCTAGATAACTTACCTATTATCAGTAAAACTGGAAAGGTCCAAGAGGCATTCTCCTTTTAAAATCTGGGAAGAAAATGTCATTTTGTGGTATTGTATAAATAAGCATCTTAACATACTCATAAAAACATGACATCTAAATTTTCACATTGGTAATTGTTAGAAGTCAGACACACGTAAAACAGAATTACTAAATATTTCTTTCAGATCAGTAAAACCTAATTAGCATGCAAATAAAATACTAAAAAACATTTAAAGCCAAGTTTTGAAAATACTTTAAAGGTACTCTATTGTAGTGGTTTCCAAATTTTAGTTCACTTAGGTGAACTTATCAAAAATGCAAACCGATGGACCTCAAGGCCTGATCTGAGGCAGCGTTTTTAACAAATTCCCGAAGTGATTCTGATGAAAGCTGTCCAATTTTAAACACAGGTCTATGGAGAAGGAAAAGTAACATACATTGAGTGGTTATTTAATACATACATAAAATATATGTATGTATTTTTTAGGAAAGATAAGACTAAATACAAAAATTTGTGTAAAAGACAAAGAACTCAGTTAGGGAAGATTTTATGCTTAAAGAAAAATCTCAAAATATTGGCAAAGAGGGAGACCACAGTGATGACCTAATCCACACCTCCACTTTTTATCAAACAGAAAACTCAAGGCCTAGCTGAATTAAGTGGCTCAATATTGGGGAAATAAGTAATTGAGACCCTTGGGCCATCCAAGTGGCACGTTGGTTAAGAGTTGGCTTGGGAGTGTGAGCTCTGAGCAGCCGGCCTCTGGTTCAGATCCCACA